TTCTACACAACAACTGGCCTCGTCTATTCAAAAAGTCAATATCATAAAAAGAAGTGGAGGACAATTCAGATTAGAAGATTTAAGAAGCAGAGCAAGCAGATGCAACGAGCGTTCCTTCTTGGATCCTGGTCTGAAAAAGAAAGCAAAAGCTATAGACTTTGGCAGACAAACTGGGAAAATCGCATATAGTATGGCTAAATAGTTATTAGGAAATTACTGCTAATTTTTGTTAAGGGTGCTAATGGCATGGTCTTATTCAGAATAAATGTCCTCATTATTTTTTTTGGGGGGGGGGGCGAAAATTAGCCCTGAGCTAACATTTGCCGTCAATCCTCCTCTTTTGGCTGAGGAAGACCAGCCCTGAGCTAACATCCGTGCCCATCTTCCTCTATGTTGTATGTGGGACGCCTGCCACAGCATGGCTTGCCAAGCACTGTGTAGGTCTGCACCCGGGATCCGAGTGGGTGAACCTCAGGCTGCCGAAGCGGAACGTGCGAACTTTGCTGCTGCGCCACCAACGTCCCAGTGCCCCAAATGTCCTTATTTTTTGAAGATACAAAAAATATCGTAGTGGTACAATGTCATGATGACTGCCATTCACTTGAAGACTGTTCAGAAAGATGAAACAAACATGGCAAAATGTTTAACAATCCCTCAGTCTCAGGGGTAGGCTTATGGGTGCTCGCTGTAAACTGCTTTCTACATATTCAAAGATGTTCATAATAAAACGGCTCAAGAAATAAATAAATCTCGGAAAGTTTTGCTCAAATACAAGCATAATACACTTTTTTAATTGAAAGCACAGCAGAAATTTTACACTGTAAAAAGTAAAGAAATATTAAATAATCTTAATTTACAAGCTTATCTAAAAACACTAGAAATTACCTAGAGGTCCATAACTATGTACATGCCTGTTTTTGAAATATGCCTTAAAGACCTAAAACTGATGCCCCCACTGCAATTCCTTATCTGCCTCTGTCCAACCAGAAGCAGAAGCTTCCCGTTCAGGATGAGGTCAAGAATGACATACTACAAGACAGACAACATCTAATGTGGATTTGGAGTCTGTTTGTAAAATGTTCAGCCAAACACATAATGTCACGTTCCTAAAGATGAAAATGGTTATACTTTTTCCCTTAGAAAAAAGAGATTGGGAAAAACAAAATCTCCTGAGATGCATTCTTACCATCAAAATAAAAACAAAGGCCAGGGCAAAAAAGGGAGCTCTTTTCCCTTTTTCTTCAGGGAGATTTGAAACTATGACATCCCGATAGATTAATTCAAGACATATGGCTGAAAACTACTGATAATACTATAAACCTAACCTTGGGAAAATGTGTCCTGAGCTTCACATTTTGCTGCCTTATTTCCTGTTATTATTAGAGATCAAAAGTTCCTGATATGTGAATAGACACAGTTGCCTTGTCGTCTACTTACAATCCTGCATACTTTTTAAATTATTACTTATGCAAAGAATTATGATTATTCATCATTAAATCTCAAAGATTCCTATTTCAACCCTGCAGTGCACATTTCAAGCATTTTTTTCTTTCAACTGATACTTCAGGTGAGAGTTATGAGTTCTAACACAAGAGAAACTAAATGGAAATGAATAAGAATGTCAGGGGACAGCTTTTCTGGAGAACTGAAATCAGAGATTGTGGCAACAGCTGCCATCTCTCTTTTTCATCCCTTTCACTCAGATAGCTTTCCAAGAAATACTGGAGAACCAGGGCTCACATCACGTTTCTCTCATCCTCCTACGTGGCCTTGAAGCAAAGCGAGAGGATGCAGCTGTGGCTGGAGCCAATTATACCACGCCTTCCCAACTCATGCTACAGGGTTGATGACAGAAGTGCTGAGCAACTCCAGCTTGTGCAGTGCCCTCACAGACAACATCACAGGGGTGAGGCATGGTCAAGAGGTTTGACACAGCCCCCTTGTTTCCTAGCCTTATTTTCTACATAGAACCCTTATATGATAACTTTGCACAATGTTAATAGCAAGATAGTGTGCTAGAAATGCAGGAAATGTATGTGTTTTGTCCCCCACTGCACCCACAGTGTGTCTATGGACAGCTAGCACACGGCCTGGCAGAGTATCCTGGACAGATGAGAGTGCCCTGCTGACACAGCTTCTGAGAACATCAAACCACACAGAAACAGTTTCATTCATCTTCTCAGGGATCCCGGAATGATCAATGTAACAAGAAATGGACCATGGACTACTTCTGTCTATCACTTAAACTCCAGTGGTGGACAAACAGTGAGACCAGAGTGTAAACATGTTAAGAAACACAGCAGACTTACCAGAGGTCACAAAAGACTACAACTCAGCAACCCACACACATTCTTCAACAGTCCTGGTCTCACCTACCTGTCTTAAGTCCAGAGTGATTGTGACCCAGTGATATTCTCTCCCGTTTTGAATACTGGGACTTTGCCACCAGTTATTGGTACCATCTATAGCATTTGATATTGGATGGCGTTCTGTTAAAAGAAAATAAAAACATGCATTCCTCTCAGCTTTTGGTTTAAATTTGTTAGCTTCTGAACTGTAATACTAGTGGAAATGAATAGCAGTGAAGGTGAACACAACGTTCATGGCTTCCTAATAGAATTTTTCAGTAATCATTTCAAAAAGTATGAATTTCCATGGGTACTTCTGAAGAGAAGGAACAGCACTTGCCTTTGGGGTTCCCGCTGCTGCCATCACAGATCCGGCACTGTGGGTTCCGCACAGGCCGACCGGGCACGTGCTCCACAAGTTTGCAGAACATCTCAGGCCCCTGCTCGCCACAGGTCGCATTGGTGCTGATGTGAGCATTGCTGGCAAGATTGAGAATGGCAGGAAACAGGCCTGAAAGTCAAAATTCACCAAATCAGCAGGACCTCTTGAAATCAAAAGGCTAAGTTTACTTCATCTCACTTCGTGGGAGAATAAAAAGAGACTGACGTAAGTCTAGTTGCTGAGTGAAGGAAGCCTTACGCAAAGGCAGTATACATGGTGGTTTTATTTATATGAAATCCTAGCACAACAAACTCATCATGAGAAACGACCTCTGGACAGCAGTTGCAAAGGCTGGGGGCTGACTGTGAAGGGCCACGAGGGAACTTTCTGGAGTAATGTTATGTTCTACATCTTGATAAAGGGTTGGATTGCAGAGGCATACGCACCTGTGAAAAATCATAGACTGCATAGGATTTGGGTAGAATTGTGTATTCCACTATATGTAAATTTTGCGTCAAAAAATAAAAGAGAATCATGAAAAATATTGATATAAATGCTGAACACTTTAGGAGAAAAGTGTGCTTAGGTCTTCAACTCACTTCGAAATGCATCAAAAAATAAGCTGGATTGACAGATAGATAGAGATGGGTACACGGATAGACAAGTGATAAAGAACATAAAATGTTCATTGTAGAATCCTGGTAGAAGGTTAGATACATACTGTACACTGTTTCCACTTTTCTGATTGAAAATTTTCAAAATAAAATGTTGAGAAAGTATGTTTTAAGACAAGTTTCAAATAGCCCAGTGGACATATTTGCCAATGAAATTCAAACATCTTTCACTTACAGGCAGGGCATCCATTCTCCACCCACTTGTTCCGGCTGCCCCTGCTAGGGCTTACAAGGTCTTCCTTATAATTACCTAGGATTTCTTTCTCTCTCTTTTTCTTTACTGCCTGTTTTCTTTGGTGAATAAAACTTTAGAACACAAAGATCCGGTTTTCAAAATTTCTCCTCAATTCACTATGCGTCTTTGCCTTTGTATACTCCTTTTGTCTCCAGTGATTTTTATCTTTAAGCAGCTGGTCCAAACTATTCAGAAAATAGTTTTTGGAAAACTTACTCCACGAGGTTTAGAGATTTGACTTTATCTTGGTAAAAGAGGACAAAAGCCATGGAGATTCCATAAAAACCTAGAAAGGATGGTGCACATGATGTGAAAGGAGATGTCCCCCGTGACCGGACACTGTGGACTGAGAGAGGACTTGAGAGGAGGGGTCTTAGCTAAGTGGGGTTTCTCTAATTTACTAGAACTTGATCTTCAAAGATCACAGAAGGTAATCTTTATAAAAAACACAGAGTCAATATTATTTCTGAACTATTTCTTTTCCAGTGAAATCTGGAAAAGCAAAATATAATTTTGGTAATATAGAAGGAATTCATGCCTTCAATTTTTATTTTTTAGGTGCTGCTTAATATTTTCAATGATCTTTTCTATTATAAATATTTTAATAATTTAAATTATAAAATAAAAATGGTTATTTCTTAAAGAGTTGCTACATTAAAAAACTTACCATGCATCTACTTTAAAAAATAACTTATTAGGTAGTCTTTCAAAGATTTTCAAAATAAAAGAGCCACTTATTAGCAGGTCTATCCTAATGGAATGACCCTATGCAAGTCAACAAGCCCTTAGCCTCTCAATAGAAAACAGTTACTGAATATTTGTATTCTAGAGCATTATCTTAATTTTGAAACATAACACAGAATTACATCATATACTATGTTTAATATATTATATATATTTTCATTTTAAATTAAAGTTGGTCATTTTTATCATATTCCTTTAAAGAGATTTATTTTGTAATTAAAAAGGCTTTATGAGGAAATAGATGAATCTTTATGTTGAATTACACAGCTCCACAAATTATTATTTTCATCCACCAGTAGTTAGACACTTACATCTTATGCAATGATCTAGCTCCTAAAATGACATGTGATTTTGGGAGTGCTACTTATACAGAGGGAGGAGCTGATATGTATTCTGTTTGGTACTGAGGTAAGCATCAATTTTCTCCATCCTCTATGACCATAATATGCTCGTAATCTGGTTCAAATGTACCTTATAAGCTAATAATTTAAAGTACAACATGGTTTTAAACTGTGATGTTTTATGCAAATAGTTAAAATGATGTTTTTCTGGCTCTATATCACGTATTTGCATTCAGATTTGCAGTACAGTCAACTCTCTCCATTCCCTTCTCACAGACTGGTCAAGCGAGGAAGAAGAAAAGAAGCCAAGGTCAGAAGAACTGATTTAACAACGCATTTCTCTATCAACAAACAATTTACCCGGTAACTTAGCAAATGTTCCCACTTTCTCTTTGTTCTCCCTTCCAGTCGCTGGACATCAAGAGAACGCCCCAGTTCCTTGCCGGGGCTCCCTCCCACCCTGAAGACCTGCAGGGCTTTGAGTTACTGGAGCAGGCAGAGCGGAGGGGCTGGGGAGTCACGAAGGCACCATGCTCTGTGTGCTCAGGAGTCTATGTTCTGAGCCACTGAGAAAAAGCAGCTCAAACCTCGTGAACGCAGACTTCACAAAATCTTGGCGAATAGTATCTCCATTGTAGTAATCAGCATCAGATAGTTCTTGCACTAGATAGGTTTCAGAGAACTTCCATATTTCCTTACCTTGCTGGTACTGTAAATAAACTTTTAATAAAAAGAAAGATAAATTCCTTCATTAGCATGGCGGTGTAGAAAAACCTTTAAATAATTAATTTCATAAATACATCTTGATTGCCTTTCACTAAAACTGAATCTTCTCCGATAAGCTAGTACATAAAAAAACTATTCACTAAATATTCTTCCTTACATATTACATTTACCCTCACTTCATAGTTACAGAATAATTATTATTCCTTGTTGCATATGACCACATCTGCTAGAAGATGAAGGAAAGAAATATGTACTGGAGAAAGCATGTTTTAAAAAGAACATTTTAACAAGTCCCTCAGGTTGCTGAGTCTTTCAGACTACAGAAATATTTCAACAAAGGGAAACGCCATGCGCTTCAATGGGGGGAGGGGCAGGAATCAAAGGGTGAGAATGGGCACTGGGATGGAGAACATACCAAGAGCAAAAGTTTGATTTCACATGTAAAAATCAAAGGCAGAATGAGGGCTGAACAGAACCCACATGTGACACAGTTTTCCCATTACTGAGTCACGCACTTAATAAATTAGACTATCCATTTTTGTTTAGAGACGTCATTTACTTTAGTTAGTATTACTGTAAACTAATTTGAACTTTTTTCCCACATTCAGGACCCACAATGGAAGCATTTTTTTTCTATCCCTGTAGTTAGCCAGTAGCTAAAGACTTTATAACGCCAAACTCCTTCGAGGATGAAATAACGTCCTCTATTCCTCTCATTTACCAGGAGTATTTTTTTTGTCTTCTTTCTTCCCAGCCTGAGTACACTCAGCCTTCTTACATGCACGTCAGGACCACTTTCATCTGCTGGAAATTCTCTTATTATCATTAGGAGAAAAGCTGCCTTGAAGCTGAGGGCCAACAATGCTGCCACACACCGTTACCAAGGCTTCCAGATAGTTGAATAATTCATTTCTAGAGGTTTCTATTTTTTTCCCAGCAGAAAATATTTTCACCATCTTAAAGATAGAGTATCTGAAATGCTGACTAGCCCTGAAGCTCATTGCAACAACTTCTTTATCAAAATTTCTCAAATGATTCAAGGCCAACGGTTCCAGGCCTGATTGCATTTGTGTGTTAGAGAAGCGTGAGGTTTTTCTCTTTCTGTTTTGGAAAAACACATTTTTGAGTCCTACAAAATGTTATATTTGCCTAAACCACACTCAAGGTCATTGTGATATTCTGAAAAGAAAGTGATTTGCAATTCTTAATTAAAGGATCTGGGGCAATATGTTGAGATCATTGTTTTCCACCATGAAATAAAAGATCATAAATATTTTTTATGATTGAATAATGAAACTGGCTTCTGGTGTCAGGAGTTTTTGTTCTGAAAAACAGTCAAAGCTACTTATTCAATCCACGGAGAAATCTGGAAAAACAGGATTTATGTTTCTAAATTGAGAAGTTTGTGATCTTTTTAAACATTTAAATCCATTTTGTTCTCTATACACCCAACTCTCACTTCCCTAATCTCACCCGTTTACCCACACGAGCATCTGTAAGTCAAGTAGAGAAGGATGGTATCAGAAATAAACTGCCCTGTCTGCCAGCGCCTTCTTTGGAACATGGTGGCTGCCTGACGGGACAAGAAAAACAGCACCTCAAACAGCTACAAGTGGCATTATTCAGTGAAAAATCCTGGAAGCATTTAATACTATTCCAGGATAATAATATCAAAGGATTCTAATGACATAATATTCTAGTTAACAATATTACGGTATCCTAATGACCTGAATTTTAGGAGGATGTCTGAATTCACATTTAGTAACATATCCATATGAGTCAGAAAAAGCAGGTGAGAATGTCTGCTTAAGTTCAATAAATTTTTAATGAGAACCTCAGTGCAAACCACTACGCCAGGCGCCTCCCTGAGACACCCGGAGGCATCAGCTGGGCTCTGCCTAACTCATACATTCTCAGGATCAGGAGAAAAAGAGAGATGTCTACTCACAGATTCTGACAAGCATAACATTAAAAATGCAGTGACATTTAAAAATAGATTCGAGGAGAGAGACTGGAACAGGAAATGCAGTCAGGCATAATCCAGGCAGAAATATGAGCACATGTGCTCAGGCAAGAGCAGGGCTGAAATCCTTAAGTGGCTCCTCTTGTCGCTCTTCGATTTCCGTTTCCTTCCCTTTGCACCTTTCATATATCCATTCGTGCCCTACTCACCCTTCAGTAAGCCCAGGTCTTTCCTGAACTCCAGGCTAATGCTAGTCCTCTTTTTTGGTCCTGGCTTAAACCAGCACGCACTACCACGGCACTTACATTTATACAAAGACCATCACTTTGCTGACCAGTCTTGCCCCAATTCTTCTTCCCTCACTATCCTCCAAAAAATAGGAACAACTCTTAATTAATACGTGAGTTCCTTCAGGCACAGTCATGTCCTGCTTGCTCTAAGTCAGCTTCTGGCCCATGTGATTGCCCCACAAAGCGTGAATGAAAGAAGAAAGGAAGAAAGGAAGGAAAGTTCTCTCACACTCCTGCATTACCAGCAAGTGCACAGAACCAGGAGCCTAAATCTAGCTTCTCATCCTGGTTCCACCACTAACTCACTCTATGCCTTTGGGCACGTCACCCTCTCAGAGCCTCTACTTCCTCAACCATAAGCCCTTTTTCCCTAAGATACTGTGATCCTAGAAATTTACTCCAATAGACTATCAGGTAAATTTGCCTACCATTCTCTCTCTCACTATTTGGAAAACAAATTAAAAGACTTTCTCTATTCAATGCACAGAACTTGAGAAAGAATAAATTTGGTAATTCTTTGATCATCTTGGATAAAAGAACTAAACAGAAACATAAACTGGCACTATTTTATTTGCTTATTTGGAAGTCACTCTTCAGAACCTCCCCCTGAAGAAGAGTGGAAGAGAAACAAATGATGTTTCACATGGCCTTGACCATAAGCCAGAGAACCCGCAGAGGCTGGCTGTGCGCCCCATCCACGCCTATGGCAGTAGCTCCCTGCCTACTCCCCAGTGTTAAAGGCAAGACAACAGGCCCCAAATGGAATTGCTCATGCTAAGCTCCACATCACCAAACAGAGACTTACGACAGTTTCTGTCGCTCTCCCAGAAAAGGAATCTTAAACCAGTCACTCAGGAATCGCCCGCCCAGCATCAGCTGGGTAATCTGCCTGATAGGGACTTGCCATCCCCTAGGAGGAAAGCACCTTTGCAATAGCCAATCTGCCTTTGTGCCTAGTATAACTTCCTTGTTCCGCTCTGCTCTGCCTATAAAAGTCTTCCATTTCGTCCAGCTCCTCTGAGCTCCTTTCCATCTGCTGGATTGGATGCTGTCCGATTCATGAATGGTTGAATAAAGCCAATAAGATCTTTAAAATTTACTCAGTTGAATTTTGTTTTTTCACACCAGTAAGCATATAAATCTACATCTTGTGGAAGCCCTTCAAAACCCTAAGTTCTATTTAATATCTAACCTGCACGTGCCCAGGCTTCAGATGGAATGTCCGTTTTAATCATGTTTTATGTCAACTCTGTTAGAATTGCTAGTGCCTCTGACAGGCGGTAGTGGGTAAGAAGTAAGAACAGGGGCTTCTGAGTCCGACAGCCCTTGGTTTGAACTCCAGGTCTGCCAGCTGCCAGCCCAGGGGCTTTACCCCCACAGTCCTGCTCCGGAATGAGCCGGCCGCCTGCCCCTCCTTTCCGCACAGGTTCCCTTGTGCTTTTCCTGTGCACGAGCCTTTCTCCTCCCGGTTGTTGTCTCTCTTGATTTCTATCCCGGGGGACAAGACCCAAGGCGCCAGTAACAAAATTACTTATAGTAGCATACCCCCAACCCCTCAAATATGCAGTCTACTAACAAGCTGTGGCAAAAGTCATCTAACTCAAACTTTTTTCCCCAAAAAACAATACAAATAGACCTGCATATTATGAAGTAGGTATATTTGAAAAACAAGCATAATGAAACCGTTTTCCCTTTTTACTTCTGATTAATGAGCAATTGACAACAATCCTTAAAACAAGTGGTTTCTTGCTCCTCTCTTTCCTTCCCACGAGAAACCTGAGCCGAGCACTGTCATAACAAGAGGACACCATTTAAAGGAATTCTATTTCAAGTTATTTATTACAAATTAAAAATAATTTTAACCACTACTAAGCGAACTTCTTTTATATATCAAATACTAGCATCCTCAGAATGTTTAAATAATAAAACATCAAAGCTAATGTTGAAATGTAGGAGTCTTGTTTGCTTAGTGTAAAACAAACAAGGCTTCATTCCCAATGAGAATTATTCAGATGTTACCAGCTAGTTACTCCATTTCTCCAAGAAAGAAGCAGCTGACCCTTGGGAGCGTTGTTAATGGCAGGCACTCGCAAGGCCCGTAGGCAGGGCCTCTCAGGGAGACAGGAGCACTAACCAGAGAATGGCTGACCCCCAAAAACAAATACTTGATTCTTGGACTAAACCAATTTAATCATTGACAGCTCTTAGTAAAAGAAAAGCTTTAAGATATTCTAGAGATTCCAAGGCCCTACCCAGCACAGAGAAAAAAAACAGGAGGAGGAGGGGGAGAAGGAGAGAGAGGGAGAGAAAGAAAGGCTCTCCCCACAAAGAGTGAGGAAAAGTCAAATCAAACTCCTGGGAGTTGGGCATTGAACATGGTTGACTTTTTTTCTCATGTGGGAAAATGAAGAGAAGTTTAATCTCAGAAAAACCAGAGTGAGTGGTGAGAAAAAGCCCTTAGCAGGGTTTTGCCAGTTCCATTTCCACAGCAATGGGCTCAAGGAGTCCTTGACAATGATAGAGGTTTTCCCTGTAAGATACAGAAGCCTCTGAACAAGCCAGGCCCAAACACTGCCTGCAGGACACAGGCCTTCTCAGAAACTGCCCACCCGTCCTAAAGCTTGTTTAATCCTGATGGGCCATGACCCGCGGTTTTTGACTCAGCAGACAAGTTTAGCTGCAGAGCAAAACACTTTAATTCATTCATCATGACATGTTGCTCTCTTTTGTTGCCACAAAATTTAAATTGTTGTTAAAGGGCAACAATTTAAATATTCTATCTGATCAAAATCATCGTTGCACATACGCAAAACAGAAAAGCACCTCAACATTCATATATATTTTAGAATTTCAAATCATTCCCATTGCCCTGGAAAGGCATTGCCCCTCCTCCCTCCTTCCAAATCCTTGCAGAGATGAACTCAGTGTAAAGGAAGGTCAAAACGTAAGTGCAGCTTTTAAGTTAAATATTGACAGCCCTGTTGAATTAAAATGCAGTTGTATTATATTTTGCTTATATCAATTTATAATGTTTACAATGTTTATATCATTTGTTCAAACACTTAAAAACATCTGTTCGTTCAACATTTTCTAACCAGCCCAAACAATTCCAGAAACCATCCACTCTTCTACAAACCCTCAAGGTGTTAGTTACTTCCTCCCTTTCCTCTGCCACTTCTGCGCTCTGTTGTACAAATTCTACTTGCTTATGCTTTCAAACTTCAGCCTCCGTCTTGAGGAGCGTGCCCAGGGCTGCTTCACGGGTGTGCAGCCAGTGCAGTCACCCTTGGTTGAACGCTTTGCTGAAACTGTCCTGAAATGTCTCATCATTTATATAAGGGGCCCCACAGCTTCATTCTGCACTAGCTCTTCAGACTATGCCCTGGATGTGCCTGGTGGTAGCTTCCCTTGAGGACGGTCCTCACAAGTGTCTATGTATCTCTGATGAATCACCTGGCATTTGAGATGCCAGATGTGTCACCGCCTCTAACTGAACACCAGTACAATGACATCGAGGTGGCTGGATCCACCAGATTACAGCCCCTTTTATTCCAGTACATACCTGGAGGGACATCTTACAAAGGAATCATTTGAGATCTGTTTCACCTTACAGACCAACAGTAGACAAATACATTTAATAACTAGAGTAAACACTCCCACCGAAGGTACACAGAGCTAACGGATCTTGGTATCACTCTCACTGGGGTTGATAAGATTGCATTTTCTCAATTCCAGCTGAAACTGGGCTGCCTCTTTGTATAGACATATACATTTAATGTGGCAGTGTTTCTCCTGTTTTCAGAGAGCTGTTACTAAATCAAGGAAGAGCATAAGAATTGCACCCACTGTCTCCAGATCCTTGGCCCACATTTGCTCTTCACTCAATTTCAATTAAGATTCTGTTCCTTTAGGACACAGGGATGGTTCAACATCCACAAATCAATCAACGTGATACACCACATCAACAAACTGAGGAATAAAAACCACATGATCATCTCAATAGATGCAGAGAAGGCATTTGACAAGATCCAACAGCCATTTATGATAAAAACTCTGAACAAAATGGGCATAGAAGGAAACTACCTCAACATAATAAAGGCCATATATGACAAACCCATAGCCAACATCATACTCAATGGGCAAAAACTGAACGCCATCCCCATGAAAACAGGAACGAGACAAGGATGCCCTCTATCACCACTCTTATTCAACATAGTATTGGAGGTCCTGGCCAGAGCAATCAGGCAAGAAAAAGGAATAAAAGGAATCCAAATAGGGAGGGAAGAACTGAAACTCTCGCTGTTTGCAGACGACATGATCTTATATATAGAAAACCCCAAAGAATCCATTGGAAAACTCTTAGAAGTAATCAACAACTACAGCAAAGTTGCAGGGTACAAAATCAATTTGCATAAATCAGCAGCATTTCTATACTCCAATAATGAACCAACAGAAAAAGAACTCAAGAACACAATACCATTCACAATCGCAACAAAAAGAGTAAAATACCTTGGGGTAAATTTAACTAAGGAAGTGAAGGACCTGTATAATGAAAATTACAAGGCCTTTCTGAGAGAATTGGATGACGACATCAGGAGATGGAAAGACATTCCATGTACATGGATTGGAAGAATAAACATAGTTAAAATGTCCGTTCTACCTAAAGCAATCTACAGATTCAACGCCATCCCAATCAGAATCCCAATGACATTCTTTACAGAATTAGAACAAAGAATCCTAAAATTCATATGGGGCAACAAAAGACCCCGAATTTCTAAAACAATCCTGAGAAAAAAGAACAAAACGGGAGGCATCACAATTCCTGACTTCAAAACATACTACAAAGCTACAGTAATCAAAACATCATAGTACTGGTAGGAAAACAGGTGCACAGATCAATGGAACAGAATTGAAAGCCCAGAAATAAAACCACACATCTATGGACAGCTTATTTTCGACAAAGGAGCTGAGGGCATACAATGGAGAAAAGAAAGTCTTTTCAACAAATGGTGCTGGGAAAACTGGAAAGCCACACGTAAAAGAATGAAAATTGACCATTCTTTTTCACCATTCACCAAAATAAATGCAAAATGGATCAAAGACCTAAAGGTGAGACCTGAAACCATAAGGCTTCTAGAAGAAAACGTAGGCAGTACACTCTTTGACATCAGTATTAAAAGGATCTTTTCGGACACCATGCCTTCTCAGAGAAGGGAAACAATAGAAAGAATAAACAAATGGGACTTCATCAGACTAAAGAGCTTCTTCAAAGCAAATGAAAACAGGATTGAAACAAAAAAACAACCCACTAACAGGGAAAAAATATTTGCAAGTCTTATATCTGACAAAGGCTTAATATCCATAATATATAAAGAACTCTCACAACTCAACAACAAAAAATCAAACAACCCAATCAAAAAATGGGCTGGAGAAATAACAGACATTTCTCCAAAGAAGATATACGGATAGCCAATAGGCACATGAAAAGATGCTCATCATCGCTGATCATCAGGGAAATGCAAATCAAAACTACACTAAGATATCACCTTACACCCATTAGAATGACAAAAATATCTAAAACTAATAGTAACAAATGTTGGAGAGGTTGTGGAGAAAAAGGAACCCTCATCCACTGCTGGGGGGAATGCAAACTGGTGCAGCCACTATGGAAAACAGTATGGAGATTCCTCAAAAAAATTAGAAATAGAACTACCATACGATCCAGCCATCCCACTACTGGGTATCTATCCAAAGAGCTTGAAGTCAGCAATCCCAAAAGTCCCATGTACCCCAGTGTTCATTGCAGCATTATTTACAATAGCCAAGACGTGGAAGCAACCTAAGCACCCAGCAACAGACGAATGGATAAAGAAGATGTGGTACATATATACAATGGAATACTACTCAGCTGCAAAACAGAACAAAATCATTCCATTTGCAATAACATGGATGGACCTTGAGGGAATTATGTTAGGTGAAATAAGCCAGCTAGAGAAGGACAATCTGTGTATGACTCCACTCATATGAGGAATTTAAAAATGTGGACTAAGAACAGTTTAGTGGATACCAGGGGAAAGGTGGGGTGGGGGGTGGGCACAAAGGGTGAAGTGGTGCCCCTACAACATGACTGACAAACGTTAACGTACAACTGAAATTTCACAAGATTGTAACCTATCATTAACTCAATAAAAAAATGAAAAAAAAAAACCATTCTGTTCCTTTAAATCACTAAAAATGCCCTTTTCAAGGTCTCCGTCAACTTCCATCTTGCCAAACCCAATATACAGTTCACCTGCAGTTTACTTGACTTCCCAGTAGCTTTTGTCGAAAATGACCTTTCTCTCTTTCTTAAACCCCATCTTCTTTTGGCCTCCATCATACTATGTCGCAGCAACCTGTCAATCTCTGCTAGGTATCCTGGAGGTCTCACTGATTTCCTATAGAAAGACAGCTTATCCACCATACGGGTGCATTCTCATGGGGAAACTGAGAAGAACGAGTGTACTTTCCCGAAAGGCTATCTCCAAGAGCAAGAGACACAATATAAAGTATTATTGGATTGAGGGCAGAGATGCATTTTCCACCCAGTGTGCCCAATACTTTCTTGTTCAATATTATTAATCCTGACTTAGATAATGATATGAAAAGGCATCACATGTGTGGGAAGTTAATACAGTGGGTCATGGAATTAGTGAAATCTCAACAGTGGCCAAAAGAAAACAATCATAAGTTTAACAGGGATAAATGCAGGATCTTCTACTTTTTTCCCCAAATCCACCTGGAAATACAGCATAGTCTTGGTGAAAGTGAAAAAGATGTTGTAGTTCCTGGTGACAGGTATACACAGCACGAGAACAGTGTTACGAAAAAAGCTAACATGACCTAGGATTTAATTAATAACGCCATTATATTAAAGACAGAGGAAGACGACCCTTAGCATCCAAAAATTTGATAACTATGATTTAACTATGCACAAGATATCTGAATGTCATTCTGTGCTGAAGAGTGCAAAGAGAGAGCTGAGAATTAGAGCAATGCTCCTCAAACTTTTACGTGTGCAAATCATCTGGAGATCTCATTAAAAAAGCAGATCCTGATTCTGCAGGTCTGGGGTGGGGCTGAGATGTTTCACGGCTAAGCATCTCCCAGGGGTTGCTGCTTTGAGTTCAAGAAATTAAACGATCTCTTGGTTCGTTCCCAGCTCCAACACTCTGGAGTTGGCCAATTCAGCCAAGCCTTGGCACAAAGATCATCAGGCCAGTTAGCAAGATCACGCCTCTTCCAGCAGTTTTTCGTCACTATTTAACCAGAACTCCAGACTCTCCATCCTGAATTCAAATCTTGGGCACCTTGGCAGGCAGTGGAGGGAATGTGGTGTTTCAGTTCAAGGTTTTTGGTTTACTGTAAAGAGGGAAAAACTCAAGGGCTCCAAAATTAAAGACACGATATACCAACGAAGTCAACTGAGCATCAAGCAGGGAAACGTGTTCAAGCAAACCAGTGGTTTGACTTCTCAGGCCTTCTCCACCTTGATGGTGCTGCCACTGCCTGGTTCATTTATCATGAAGACACGGTAAAAAGCTTATGATATAAGATTAAATTGTAAAAGGAAGATATTCACATGGCACTATCTAATTCCTGATAGAGGGCCACCCCTTTAAGCCCAGGTCCTGCTGGTTGCTGGTAGTCTGAGCAGGTGTCTGTTCACAGAGGCCTGCAGAGGGGCTTTGCACAAGGTGGGGAGAGGCAGGTGGGAGAGGACAGCATGGCAGCATGATGTCCCTTCCCAGGCTGCCTCAGGATCTGGCACTTGAGCTTCCAGGATAGGGTCTAGGTCATGAGGGAAGGAGAAGGAAGAGTTTTCAAGGGCAAAAGCAGGGTCATTAACAGAAGATGGGCCCCTCTCCTCACTGTGGTGAAGAAAAGAGCTTGAGAGAGGTGGGGAAGGTCAAGGACGCAGCTCAACACCACAGCAGTGGCCCTGAGCCTCTTTCTCTTCTATTTTTTTGGTCTTATTAAAATAAGATTTTAAATATTATTTTACTTTTATTTTCTAAGTTCTTCCCCGTACTATATTTTTATCAGGTTAATACAGGCAGGGAAAATTTACTTTATTTCCACTCGTAGTTGTGAAGAAATCAGAACCCAGGCTGGACCACATTAACAGATTACTCTCAAATAAACCACATTTATATACATCTCCTGTAATACATTTTCTTTTAGAACAAACCAGTAAAAACCAAATGGCCTATGTTTACTATACACTCCACTACGATTCACATACAGGTTTCCCATTTTGAGCTAACTACAAATCTTTAACTGAGATGCTGTCAAAGAGAGAGTTTTTCAGTTTAAGTTCTAAGCTGCCCTTTCCGTACTTACTCCTCTCGCTTCCTAGTTAGCACCCAGCGCAGACCTGCCCCTGCTGTTTCCTCCAACCCTCTGCCCTTGGCCCTGAAGAAGTTGGCAAGTTTAGGGGCCAATCTGTTTACAGGAGAATGTCAGCCGTCTTTAGACTTCCGGGCTTAGGCTCCCAAGCTGCCAATACAGCACTTCTTTGAGTGTGGCGGTCATTTCCTCGGGGGGGTTGCAATTCCCACAGAGTTCTCCTCCGCTTGAGTGGGCACACAGTCACTCAAACCGAGCATATAAACTGAGTTGACTCATGATGAACATCCATTTGAGCAGAAATGCTAACTAGTACAATATCTGAAATTTACTTTAAGATACGTCCGCAGAAAGGCTGTGATAGAGTGTGTGCGTGTGTGTGTGCGTGTGAGTGTGATACTTAGGTTGACTGTCCAGGTGCAGCTGGGATTGCGATGGCAGCTGCACCTTGCAGGGAGGGCAGTGGGATGCCACCAGGAAGACGGCCCATGTTCCAGAGGCACCGGCCACAGTGTTCCGTTGTCTGTCTCCACCAACACCAGCACTCTACTAACTAGTGAGGAGAATATCAGAAATGGGTTATTAGTAAAATT